AAAGTAGCTGCAAATTGCCTCATCTGCTGCATTATAATGTCATGGATAACGACTGACAACGACTGTTTAAAGGGTGAAAACATTCAGAATGGTTGCGGGTGTTGTAATCAGTCCTCCTCTCTGTAAAGGCTAAGAAGAGATAGTTTCCTTGTTCTATTTAAACTTCATCGCCTAATGTTTACATTTAACTTGTAGTTACAAATCCCCAAAAAGAATCACCCAACTCTGCATTTTCCATCAGTTCTAATATCTAATTTTAGCATCTTTGTTTTGGATTTCTTCTGCTCACAACTTTACCGTTTTTTTTTTTTACTTGTTTCCAGTAGATGGGCAAAATGATCGCTGGTCAACCCACTTTACAATTACCTTCTCTGAACCACAGAAAGTGTTGCTTTTTTGCCTGCCTACCTGCACACATTCAACCTACCCATCAAAGGAGTCTACCACAAATTACTATCCATGATCGTTTTCACATTTATCATGATCAGACTTCTGTAAAATTAGACAATTCTTGTGCAACCTGCTGGCCAGAGAGAAAAAGCAGGTTCAGGATCTTCAACACTGACTTTTCTGTCACAGAGTTTGTTGCTTGCTTCACATTCAGAATGGAGAGTATGTGAGTACTGTTTTTAAAAAATCGGAACCTATTCTTGTGTTTTTGCTTTGTAATATCAAAAGACTTTGCTAGACGGTAAACATCTCTGCATCAGCTACTTGTAACTTCTTGATTATTGCTCTAAGTCGAAGCACACAGTCTTAAGCGGTGCCAAAAGGCTTTTCAAACCACGAGACATTGGTATTTTTCTGGTTTCCATTCAGTGTGGCTGAAAGAAAACTGAAAGCGGAAGCCAATTCACAGAAATAAAGAGCTTCTGCCGATCTGATAGCTTTGCTAAAGACTCATTCTGAATGCATCATTAATCAAGCTCAAAACAGACCCACTATGCCTCTACAATGGCTCTTACTGCTCCGAGTAAATCAACTCCCCCATATGGAGGACAGTACTTCCTTCAGTGAAGTCTTTCTGCACAAGCCAAGCTCTCTCTCTATCACAATGTACCCAGATAATGGCTGTCAAAATACACATATGGCTATCAGTGGTCACAATGTAGGCTTTATTATTTTTCTGTGTATACGAGCAGTAATGTTGATGTTTACATTGCAGCTGTTTTAAAAAAAACAGTTTTTAATGTCTTAAAGGTCCCATGTCATGGCCATTTCTACTCATCATAATTCCATTGTTGAGGTCTACTAGAATAGATTTATATTGTGCAATTTTCCAAACTCACATTGGTTTCTCATACAGCATCTCTGTATAGTATGTGTATTCACCAGGTATTCACTCTCTGTCCTAAACGGCTTGTTGGAGCTCTTGCCCCCCCCCCCCCCCCACCCCTCCCTGTGAGCCCAGTGTGCTCTGATTGGTCGGGATGTTGCGAGGCTCGCTGCTCACTGAGCTGGCTTACTGGTGTGGTTTCCGGGTCGGGGATACAGCGAGACACAGCGAAACTCATCCTGAGCACACACAAACACTCACAGCCGAAGTAAAAACAATAAGTGTGGCTTGATATTGAGTAAGAAAAAGGTTTATAAACGCTGTGAGAATGGGTCTGCGGAGAGCATTTCTCCGCGATCCCAACTCGTCTATTACCAACCAGGGGACTCCCTGTTGGTTGAAAATGTACGCTAAAGGTCCCCACCCCTCGTGGTGTGTGAGGAGCTCCGCGGATTGGTCCATTTTGGTTCCGGGAACCGCATGACGTCATGCGCTTCCCGGAAGAAACAAATGGAAAAAGAGAAATCTCCAACGAGGCGTTCTGGGGCAGCATAGACAGGTCTTTTCTGTGTTTTACTCCCTACAGGGTGTACTTTGAGGGTTTGTGACTCTGCAGACCGTTTACATGCATAAAAACCTCCATAACACACAAGGGGACGGGTAATAACCGGAAAAGCATGACATTGGACCTTTAAGTGAAAGTGCTTTGCAACCTCTATTCCCAATAAATCCTTTAAACACCCTGTAGGGAATATTTACACTGCTTCTGTCACATCTAATAATTTATAACAACATTTTGCAAGACCTTCAAAGTTATCATTTTAGAATTTAATATAACTTATGACTTAAGTTAATTCATTATAAGAGGGAGCACAGGATAAACCACACTGTGCCATTAGAGAAGAAACGTAACATGAATAATGAGATGTCTTTTTTTTATGTTTAGCGCCGGGAGAAGCAGAGAGGACGTTTTTTCCTTTGACCTCACCTTCTTAACTCTGTGACTTTGTTTAATGAGTACTCCTTAAACAGAGGGTTGGGATTGGCATGACAATATGTATAGATGTAACCCTTATGTGGCTTAAATAATGTATTATTGTGGATGGATATTGTTTACTCAATGGAGGATGGATCTCAAAACTCTTAATTCTAGAACACCAGAGGAAAAACCTTGACATTTTCCAAATTATGGCATTTCCAATTGTCAAGAAACAATAACTGGATTTCCAATGAAACCCTCTTTTTCTGTCACAAACACATGTGCATGTTCACAGCACAATTTGGGAAACCTGCATTAAACCCATGCTAGTGCTGGGGGCCCGCTCCAAGTAATGGTCAACACTCCTTACTATGGTCTGTTCGGAGAATTGAACCGGTGAACCTCTGGTTCCAAAGAAAAGTCCCTAAAGAGTGAGCTTCTGCCCCCCCAGGAGAATAGCAAGGCAACAGCTGAAATCTTCTATATAATATACTTTTATTTACTAATTGTTATTGAATCATTTTGAGGGTGTTGGGGTTGGTGTGTCGTGGTTTTCCAAAGTTTGTAAATGGAAGTGGTGAATGGTGAATTAATGCACAAAGGGAGGGGTTTTGGACACATCCTTTGCTTCCAACTAACAACCTGTACACTTATTTCACTTCAGAATCACTTCAATACAATAAGACAAAAACTTCGGTATAAAAACTGATGAGAATTTTTTTTCATACAGCTTAAACCGTAGACTAAATCATTGGCATATCCTTATTTATAAGGCTATTCTTGTTGGTTTTCCACCTTATCTATAGATTTATGTCCATCGGAAAAGTATCGGAACTCATTGGACTTGTTCGTTTTTACTAACTTTGCCAAAAGTCCACTTCTTTGTATGATGCATGATATTTTCTCTGTTCTTTATTGTGTTGTATGTAACTGTGCTGTATCTTGGCCAGGACTCTCCAGTTTAAGAGACTTCTCAAAAATGAAACAAAACTATTTCATTCAGCACAATATGCTTATGTAACCTAACCATAATGCCACAAAGCCACGCTACCGCTGTAAATCCATTCAATCAAACATTTAATGCGCGGGAGCTCAGAGTGAAAATATGTCTCCCATCAACTTAGGGGTGAATATTGCTGGCATTATTGAACTGAAATGAGACACGAGACACCACGGGGCTGAGTTTGTGTAATCTAGATGTTATGAGATTCACTTCTCACGCTGATTTTACACAGAACGAGTCATTTTGCTCAGAACTCTAATCCAATTCTTCCGGCTCTTTTCCTGGGGACTTGAAAGACAACCCATCTGTTCCTGCTGGCCGCCGTTCAATCGCACCGCCGTCTGTTGTGCGGGCTGGAGGTGAGTTAAATGTTTCTACCACTCCACTGACAGTCGGGGGAGTCAGGGACACGGTGGCTTTCTCGCCGCCATAAAGATCACGGCTGGAGTCCTAATTCATCACCCCGGGCATCATCATGTGGCATTACAATATGCTAATGTAGCAACGCTGTGGCCTCGCTGTCACCTCGCTCTTCCTCTTTCATCTTTCTCCCTCTTCCCTCTCCTCTTCCTCCTCTAAGGGGGTGTAGGCTCTCCCCCTACTGTGATTTGCACCATGGTGACAATATGTTGAAAAGTGATGTCGGTGCTGATGTCTGAATTAGGGGAGTGTTGCGTGTCGTTGTCTGACTGTAATGGAGGAACTCGTAATTAGCCTGTAGTGTCAGTGGTTACAGATAGATTCCTTTTCATAAGCACAGCTTTAAAATCCCCACCTCACATGCCTGGAGTTGGGGTAAAAATAGGAGTGTTTTTGCAAAAGGTGTCTCTTTGTGGTGGAAATGTGTGCAGTTGGGTTTTCACAGAAATATTGTTCAATGAGGACTACCCAGGAAATATGCTGAGGTGAATAGGTGTTGATTAGAGGTAGGTTCGACAAATCTAACTCCTAGTGCAAACATGATGAATACTTCATTCATCGTGTTTGCATGAGGAGTTAGATTTGCCATTTTCATTTCAAATAGGCACAACACAATTGATCGTGCATTCATGACCAAACGTTTAAACCCTCAACCCCTCCAGGTGGCCTCTCCAGAGAGACATACAAATACAAAACAAGTTTTACAAAGTTGCCATCCCGTCTTTACAAGTTTCAAACATGTATTTATTGACTGAATATACCAACAAAATATTTATATTCAGAAAATGAGACTTTGGTTAAAACCAACCTAACCCCCAAATGACCAAAACCCGAGTTTTTAACATGAATCCACGAGTATCTCCGAATACAGGGTTGTATATATATAATAGTTTCTGTTATCAGTTGATACGTATGCTTTGTTGAGAGATATTAAATTAACCAACGCAAAAATGACTCACACTGACCTGTAAAATGTATACTTCTCTTAAAGTCAACTTTCTAGACCTGTGGTGAAAAAAAGCCAATAATAACTAAGACAAGAAATACAGATGTTCGATTTTTTTGGTTCTTCCTAGGAATAAGCCTTGAGCCCACTCTTAATATGACTTTGGCTAACACACTGTATGCAAACTTTGAAGGCCTTTTTCTCAAAATGGTGTCTCGGTAACAGTCATCATGTCATCTGAATATTTGGAGAACAACAACAATAAGGATATCGTTGCAAAGCTAAGAATCTCCTCTTTCCAACAGTGAGTGTAACTTAAATTGTTATGGGGTCAAAGTGACTGATTTCAATAGAGTATGTTTTATTTTGTTCTTACCCCATGTGACGGGTACGTCAGCCAGCCCCAGTCTCCGCTGATGGACGTCGTGTCGAGAAGGTTCACTAGAGAAAGAAACAACAACAGGAAGTGATGAGCTTTAAATCATTGTTTTTGCCGTCCTCATCCGTCCATCCTGTCCTTCACCAACATCGTCTGTGTGCACTGGCACCCGACAGTCACACACACACACACACAAACACACACACACACACACACACACACACACACACACACACACACACACACACACACACACACACACACACACACCTGTCTGATAGGTGTGACTGATGAGGCGGGACGGTCGTCACGGCGACTCTGAGCCAGGTGTCACAGCGTGTGATGTCACCTTGACCTGGTTCACCTTCAGAGCCCTTTGAGCTGGGACCTCAGCAGGCCAAAAATAGATCAGGAAACCAAACATTTACCGCCAAAGAATGAGCGCTGACTGGCTACTGATTTAAAATTAAAGGTCAACTCCGTTAATGCTCTGTTGAACTCCTTTTATACTCTTAGTTATTACCTTCTCAGTGGATGTCAAGGTCAGGTACAAAAACGAGCACATGAGAAAACAACATTATCTAGGCTATAACATTGAGTAAAAAACAACAACAACTATAAACAATGGCATGGCAGTGACTTGTCAATCACAAGGTAGCTACCCTTTTTGTCATAGGCTGCTTTGCTGTTGATTTTACTATAAATAAACAATCATTTAGATTATAAACAAGATGCTATATTGAACAAGACTTGAAACTAGCTGACACCATAGGATAACGTTTTTCTGAGGTATCAAACAAAATGAAAAGTAGGGTCATTTTCTCATAGACTTCTATCCAGACTGACTTATTGTGTAACTGAAACAGGCCCCTCCCCCTGCTGGCTATTATAATGAATACAGGTAAACGCACTTCCACCTCAGCTCCACTTTTCAGACCCTGAAGTTAACCTCTCTCTAAGAATTCATTTTCTTCCACTCGCTCCCTTCCTTATCCTCTCTGTATACTAAGTAAGTCCAAAAACAAGCAGCAACATGTTTCACTTGTGTCACCTCTTTGCCTTAATTTGACCCAGAGCACATTTGCATCATTACGCATGATAATTTAAATTTACTTCACATTCTGTCTGTGCCCACCTTAGGATCTGAATGGCAGGATATTACAGGAAAGAGAGATAAACTGATGAGGAAGAAGTGGATGGAGAACTTAATGAACCACTAATTTTACCCACTGGCAGATTGTGTGTGTGTGTGTGTGTGTGTGTGTGTGTGTGTGTGTGTGTGTGTGTGTGTGTGTGTGTGTGTGCGCGTGCGTGCATGCGTGCGTGCGTGCGTGCGTGCGTGTGTGTGTGTGTAATATGATCTCGGCCTCAGGGCAGCTTGTCAAGCAGCCAAGTGATGTCCCCCACATTAGAATGAGTTTAACAAAACCCTTCACACTCCTCTCATCCTTCATCCTTCTGTCTGACTCTTGCTCTCTCCCTGTCTCTCCTGCATGTTAAAGCTGTGCATCGTGTTGCCTTGAAGCAGGAAGTGAACTGAACCCCCCCCCCCCCCCTCAGCTGGCAGAGTCTGGATGCTTTATACTGATTTGTTTCTAGATACCCTGTTATTATTTAAGACGACTGTTGTTACTTCAAATGTGTTGCAAACTGTAAGTGAAAATATTTTACATTGGATTATTTTCCATGTAGAGAGCACACTGTGTTTGACTGACTTCTGACTTTCTGGTAAATAATTATTGCACCTGTAAGTAAGGAAAAAGGAAAAATGTGCATGTCATGCACATTATCCCACTTATTACATGGCTTCATACTAAATAAACGAACAACTTGACTCACGATATTGATTTTTAAATGATTGTATGGCTTCCAGTAAGATCAAATAGTCAGGAAAACTAATGTTTGTCGTCCACAGCTGACGTTAAAGTGACAGTATTTTTTTCTGCGAAATGATATCACTGCACATACTGTAGTCCCTTGATCAGAGTGTCCTTAGCAACGGTCTACTCTCCTTAGCAACAGTCTTCTCTCCTTAGCAACAATCTGCTAGCAAAAAACGTGTCCAAATTGACCAATCAGAATCAAGTATTCTAAGCTGTGTAATAAGGATGGAACAACACACACCTGTATGAATCTTTTACATTTGGATACTAAGAAGTAGAAGTAACATAACAGGCTCTTTCTCAAGTTTTCTGTATCAAACTCAAAAAAAGGTTTGAGACAAACTTGAGTTAAGGAATCTTTGATATTCTCTTAAAGTTCAAATTTGTACTGGAACACCAGAAATTGACAATATATTTACATCCTCAAAATGAAATAATGATAACTGTTGGTTTTGTTTATATTAAGTGTATGTAGCTGTTATAAAGCCCTTTTGCAAAGAAAGAAAACTGGATAATAATTACGAGGGAACAAAGGACCATGGGATCAATGACACACTTCTTATTAAAAGTATTCCAGGTAGAGGCTCTTTGGTGGCTCTAGATATCAGGAGTCAGCCATTCTAAAAATAATGAGTTTTTATAGCAAGCGGACGTGCCAGTAAACTGAGCACAGGACGCTTGTTGTTTGCAAACCTGCTCAGAGACAGAGAAGAGATCTAACCTCTGTTAGTCCAACACTAAACAGTGCTGCTGTTTTAGAGAAAAGTTTTGCTCAATTTGTCACATCCTGTGGGTCAACAAGTGTCTCCACCCACTGTGCATCGAGGCAAAAAGGATGTAGCAGTAATGGGGATGGAGTACTCTTGTCTGCTCCACTTCATGGTTTTAGGCTAATAAGACGAGAGTATTTTTCGATAAAAATCTTGTCGAGTGGAGCCTTGTAAAGAGATGGTGCTTCCCGCATAAACAAACGCTCACGTGGTGCAATTAGCTGCTGTGTCGCCGCTCCTAATTTGGGCGCCGGGCCACTGAGGAGGGCAGTGGGTCAGAACACACAGACAGATGGCAGTGCCACCGTCCACCCATCCATTCCTCCCCCGTCTCCCAGCCCTCCCTCTCTGCTCCCCCCCCCCCCCCCTCGAGGCACTGACGTCCTGTCGCCTCGTGTTGATGATGCGATGGCCTCCCGCTCTCTAGCCAAGGTCACAAATGGATGCCGCCAATTACGCTCCTCTGAGTGCTCTTCATCGGCCCACCAAAGTGACATAATGAAAGCGGCATGCTGGCACAAGTGGATTTAATAATTCTTCCATGCACCGAGGGAATTTCTCTCTGCTACACTGTTATTATTAAAGGACCGACAAATATATCCGAAAACATCTGAGGCGGGGTGTTATCCCTGCAACACGCTGAGTGAAGATGCATGAGCCATTCCCAGTGGTATTAATTTAATTTCCACCGAAATGAGAAATCCCCCTGTCTTTGAAGGTGGTGGGAGTCATTTATCTCATTTGCTCGAGCTGTCTGAATTATGACTTGTATACAAGCGACGGAGTTTAGAGGCATGTTTGGTGCTTTGCTTTAATATGACAGGAATAAAACAGAGGACAGGCCATAATTAGCATGTGGTTTTTTGCCCCTCGCCTAGCAGTTCTTATCATCCCTTATGCAGGAAGTGGAGCCCAAATCTCTCTGTCACACTGTATCCCATGGTTTTGTTTCTGACCTTTGACTCCATCAGCTAATCAGCTCGCTTCTCCCTCGCTGCGAGCTGGACCCCTCATCAAAAACACAACTGTTTACAAAAATGCTGGAACGAGGTCCCTGTTGAAATCAGGACAACAGAAATTCCAAATATTCTCCATTGCAGACTGAAAAGCCACTTGTTTTACCTGCACCTTGGCCATTGAACCAAACACATACACAGGGAAAGGTAAAGGGATTTTAGCTTAAACAATGCACCAGCGCTTCAAATAGTTTGGAAGACAACAGAACAATGTGACTTTATAAAATAAGTTACCAAGATATTTTGGATCAAAAGTGATTTTATTTATAGGAAAACCTGCCTTTCATGAAGCATATTCAGGCAGTAGCCTATACACCAACAATGAAACACATGAGCACATACTACAGTTTAAAAAAGTAGAAATAAAATCTGAGCTGACAGAAAATGCTCCGTTTTAGTTTAATACACACAGTTAAGCTCACACGCACTATTTATGACACCTTGACGAATTAGCTCAAGACACTCTACTATAAATACTTAATCATAGATTTGAAGAGCAGTGGACCTCTAAAGAAAATAGTTCCTCCAACAATAAAATCCTGCAGCAGAGAAGAGGTTAAACTCTTTGTTTGGCGGTTGAGAGACCAAGTGCTTCTCCTCCAGGACTCTGGGCTTGAAATTGAGTTTGTTGCTGTTCTTTTCATAACACAAACCACCAACTCCCGCCCTCCACACACACACCTCCACCAATTTCTCTGTGGTCCCCCCTCTCTACCCTGAACACAACTTGGAGAGCGGCAAATGAAAAAGCTGCCCGCCGACTGGAGAGCTTGTTTTTGCTCAGAGACACGCCACATATTTCCCAGGGCGGTGGTCAACTTTCCCCTTTATTTCCCCCCTCCTCACCCTGCGACTCACTCTGGCCTGTAGGTGAGCGTGTGTGTGTGTGTGTGTGTGTGTGTGTGTGTGTGTGTGTGTGTGTGTGTGTGTGTGTGTGTGTGTGTGTGTGTGTGTGTGTGTGTGTGTGGATGCCCACGGGCCGCCATTCATGTCGTAGGCATGTATCAAATCAGCCAATGCTCTTGAAATGCATTCACACACAAACACACTCTATCTGTCCCTGCAGTGGTCACGGTGCGGCTGAAAGAGGGAGGTGTGTGTCTGAAGTCAACACGGAAGAATTATGGGCTGTCTTGGAGGAAGTGGAGTTTGCCTGCAGCGCCTGTGGTGACTCCATACAGCTGACAAAAAAAAAAATTACGCCTTTTAAAAAAAATACATACAGACACAAGGATAGAAGGAGTGAACGGTGGAAGAGAGCAGATGCTCAAAAAACCTCATTTCCACCTCAAGAGACACGGCCATACATTTTAAAGAATAAGTGCAGCCATTATTTGTCTGAAAACACACAACAACACACACAGTAAAACCATGTACACACTGATGAAAACAA